AATTTTTTTTCATTTTAATTTTCTAAAAAATAATTAAATAAATAAATCTACCTTTATTATAATTAAAATTAATTAATTTTCTGATTTAGATTAAATTAAAACAAAAAAAAAAAATTTTTTTGTTTGTTTATGTTTTAAAACATCTTCTTCCATTAACAATTTCGTTTTATTTAAAATTAATTTTGTAAGGGTATATCAAAAACAGTAATTTAAATAAATATATAAATCTTTAAAATATTTATAAAAAATTAAAAATTAACACTTTACCTTTAGTAAAAACAGTTTATATATTTTGGATTGTGATATTTTTAATTATAAAAACTAATTAAAAACAATAGCTGTTTTTTCTTTTTCTTTTTATTTTGCTTGTTTTTTTTTATTCTTTCTTTTTTAATTTAACTCACCATTTTATTTTAAAATTTTGCCTCTATTATTAATTAATCTTATTATTTCATTTTTTCCTTCTAATAAACTATTTAATTATATTTTTTTCTTATATATTTAAAAAGTGGAAATTAAATTGGTGTAATGGGTGCATTAAACTTAGGTTCTGGCTTAGCAAAGTGCATTAATCTCTCCAATTTGGCACTTGAGCTTTGGTAAAAACAGTTTCTTTGTTTTGGATTGTGATCTTTTTAATTATAAAAACTAATTAAAAACAATAAAACCCTTTTTCTTTTTCTTTTTTTATGGTGCTTGCTTTCTTTTTTGTTCTTTCTTTGTTAATTTAACTCATCATTTTATTTTCAATGTTTGCTTTTATTATTAATTAATAATTTACTATTTAATAATATTTTTTTCTTTTATATTTAAAAAGTTTCAATAAAATTGGTGCAATGGGTGCATCAGGCTTAGGTTCTGTTTTAGCAAATTGCATTAATCTCTCACATTTGTCACTTGATCTTCGGTAAATACAGTTTATTTGTTTTGGATTGTTATATTTTTAATTATAAAGCTCTTTTTTCTTTTTATTTTTATTGTGCTTGCTTTTTTTTGTTCTTTCTTTGTTAACTCATCATTTTATTTTCAACTTTTGCTTTTATTATTAATTAATCTTATTTATTGTTTCATATTTTTTCTTTATTTTTTCCTTCTAATTAACTCTTTAATTATATATTTTATCTTCAATATTTAAAAAGTTGCAGTTAAATTGGTGATAAAGGAGCATCATGCATAGGTTTTGGCTTAGCAAATTGCATTAATCTCTCAAATTTGACACTTGAGCTTATGTAAAAACAGCTAGTTTATTTTGGATTGTGATATTTTTAATTTTAAAAACTAATTAAAAGCAATAAAGCTCTTTTTTCTTTTTCTTTTTATTGTGCTTGCTTTTTTTTTGTTCTTTCTTTGTAAATTTAACTCATCATTTTATTTTAAAATTTTGCTTCTATGATTAATTAATCTTATTATTTCATATTTTTTCTTAATTTTTTCCTTCTAACTAACTCTTTTATTATACATTTTTTTTCGATATTTAAAAAGTGAAAATTAAATTAGTGATAGAATAGAATAGAATAGAATAGAAATACTCGCACATAAATATGCACTCAGAATAACTCTTAAATATAATATTATAATAGATTTAAAAATATTCATTTATTTAATTTTTTGTTGTATTTATTATGTTTTTAGGTACCTATATTTTTATAATTTTTCATACTATAGTAATTTTTCTATATGTTGTTTAATTATTATTAATTAATCTTATTATTTCATATTATTTCTTCATTTTTTCCTTTTAATTTACTATTTAATTATATATTTTTTCTTCAATATTTAAAAAGAAACAATTAAATTTCTGGAATGGGTATATTATACTTAGATTCTGGTTTAGCAAATTGCATTAATCTCTCAAATTTGACACTTGATCTTCGGTAAAAACAGTTTATTTGTTTTGGATTATAATATTTTTACCTTCTAATTAACTCTTTAATTATATATTTTTTCCTCAATATTTAAAAAGTCGTAATTAAACTAGTCATCTAGGAGCATCATGCTTAGGTCGTGGTTTAGCAAATTACAATAATCTCTCAAATTTGACACTTAAACTTAAGTAAAAGCAGTTTATTTGTTTTGGATTATGATATTTTTAATTATAAAAACTAATTTAAAACAATAAAGCTCTTTGGAATTTATTTGATTTATTTAAATCTTTTTTATTGGCTAATGTTATTTTATTTATTAATTTAAGAAATAATTTTTAATTTAAAAGTTTATTCTATTTGATATTTATTTATTTAAAATTTACACAAATTTATTGTAAAAGTAATAGTTATTATTCGCAAAAATTCAAATTAATAAGCAAGTATCTTAAATTAAAAAGATTAGTTGTCTTTAAAAAATTAATTTGATCATAAAAAAGTGGCTAAAAATGATAAATGAATATTAAATGTTTGAATAAAATAATATATGTTTTTTTATTATGTTATATTTTGAAAAAGTTTTTTTAACCTAAAATATAGATAGATAGATTTAATTATTATTTTATATTTATAAATATAATTCTTATTTTTGTAAGTTAATAAATAAATAAAAAATTAAATTTACTTAAATAATATACTTTATTCTAGCGATTTCACATTATCGTTACTTTTATATCCAAAATCTCTAGTTTCCATTATATTTTTAAGTACATATTTAAAATAAAAATATTAAAATTTAATAAATAATCAATGTTAAACTAACTTTAAAGTGATTTTTCTTGCTAAAAGCAAATTTAAAAATTCATATAATTTATTTGTTTTTTTATCCACTTTTATATAATTCATTAAATTTCGATAAATTGTTATTCAATATTTTAGAAAAATAAATATATGATATAGTAGATTAAATATTACAACAGATTAGAAGAAGTAATTATTTATTTTTTTATTAAAATACTTTAAATTTATTTTTAATAATATAAAAAGTTTTAAAACTCTTCACTTTTATCTCATAAGGTTCTCCATATTAACCTGACGTATATTTAATTTATAAATATTATTGTTATTATTATTGTTATTAAAATTTTCTAAATATTTAACATTCAGTTATTTAAAATATTATTTTTCTAATAGAAATTATCACCTAAATTCATTCTATTAATTTATTTAAACAAATGTTTTTTCAGTTATTTTAACTGAATTTTCATTTTAAATTCTTTAAATTCATTATCCATTTTTTATTATTTCATATTTTTTATTCATTTTTTACTTCTAAAACTTTTATTTGATAAAAACAGTTTATTAGTTTTGAGTTTTAATATTTTTACATAAAAAAATAAATTTAAAACAATAGAACTCTTTTAATTTGTTAATTAGTTTTTTATTTGATTTGCTTTTCTTTTTCTTATTTATTCTATTTGTTTTTTTTTTATCCTATCTTTGGCTTAACTCATTTTTTTATTTTCAACATTTACTTGTATTCTTTATTAATTCATTTCTTACTATTTCATTTTTTCCTTCTAAATAGCTAATTAATTATATTTTATTTCTTCAATATTCTAAAAGGTTAAATTAAATTGATTATTAAGGTACATCAGTCTTAGGTTCTGCTTTAGCAAATTGCACTAATCTCTCAAATTTGACACTTGATCTTCGGTAAAAGCAGTTTATTTGTTTTGGGTTGTGATATTTTTACTGATAAAAAATAATTTAAAACAGTATAGCTCATTTAATTTTTTTATTAACTTTTTATTTGATATAATTTTCTTATTCTTTTTTATTTTAGGTTCCTAAATCATCTTTCTAAATTTAACTTATTTATTTTTTTAGTTTCAAAATTTATTTTTATTATTTATTTATTAATTTATTCCTATTTATTTCATTTTTTTCTTCAATATTTAAAAAGAAACAGTTAAATTGATGCAATCAGTGCATCAAACTTAGTTTCTGCTTTAGCAAATTGTTCTAATCTCTCGAATTTGACACTTTATCTTTCGTAAAAACAGTTTATTTGTTTTGGATTGTTATATTTTTATCTTATAAAAATGAATTTAAAACAATATAGCTCTTTTAATTTATTTTTTAGCTTTTAATTTGATTACTTTTTCTTTTTTATTCTACTTGTGTTTATTTTTATACTATCTTATTAATTCAACTCATTTTTAGTTTCAGCATTTTTTTTTATTATTTATAAATTTATTTCTTTTTATTTCATATTTTTTCTTCATTTTTCCTTCTTATAACTAATTAATTAAAATTTAATATTCAAAGTAACAATTAAATTGATGCTATCGGTACATCAGGCTTAGGTTCTGCTTTATCAAATTGCAGTAATCTCTCAAATTTGGCACTTTATCTTGGGTAAAAACAGTTTATTTATTTTGAATTATGATATTTTTACTTTTAAAAATGAATTTAAAAGAAAAAAACTCTTTTAATTTGTTAAATAGCTTTTTATTTGATTTACTTTTCTTTTTTATTTTACAAGTTTTTTCTTCTTCTATGTTTATTTATTTAACTCATTTTTTTTAGTTTCAACATTTACTTTTGTTTTTTATTAATTCATTTCTTATTATTTCTTCATTTCTCCCTTCTAAATAACTAATTAATTAATTATTTATTTTTTCTTCAATACTTAAAAAGTTTAAATTAAATTGGCAATTAAGGTACATCAGCCTTAGGTTCTGCTTTAGCAAATTGTACTAATCTCTCAAATTTAACACTTGATCTTAGGTAAAAACAGTTTATTTATTTTGAATTGTTTGTTATATTTTACTTATAAAATTGAATTTAAAACATAAAACTATTTTAATTTTTTTTTGCTTTTTATTTGATTTATTTTTCTTTTTGTTTTTTATTTTATTTGCATTTTTTTTCTTCTATCTTTCTAAATTTAACTTATTTTTTAGTTTTAACATTTGCTTTTATTATTTATCAATTAATTTCATAATATTTCATATTTTTTCTTCATTTTTATTCTTCTAATTAACTAATTAATTGTATATTTTTTCTTTAATATTTAAAAAGGTTAAATTAAATAGGTGCAATGGGTGCATCAGACTTAGGTTCTGGTTTAGGAAATTGCATTAATCTCTCAAATTTGACACTTTATCTTTAGTAAAAACAGTTTATTTGTTTTGGATTATGCCATTTTTACTAAAAAAAAATGAATTTAATACAAAACAACTTTTTTAATTTTTTTGATATTTTTATTAAATTTACTTTTCATTTCTTTTTCATTTTACTTGTTTTTTCTTCTTTTATCTTTCTTAATTTAACTCATTTTTTTATTTTCAACATTTGCTTTTATTATTTATTTATTAATTCATTTCTTATTATTTCATATTTTTTCTTACTAAATAACTAATTTATAATATATTTTTTCTTCAATATTTAAAAAGTAACAATTTAATTAGTGCAATTGGTGCATCAGGCTTAGGTTCTGGTTTAGCAAATTGCACTAATCTCTCAAATTTAGCACTTGATCTTAGGTAAATACAGTTTATTTGTTTAGATTGTGATATTATTACTTATAATAATGAATTTAAAACAATTAAACTCTTTTAATTTTTTTTAAAGCTTTTTATTTGATTTACTTTTCTTTTTCTTTTTATTCTATTTGAGTTTTTTTCTTCAAAATTTGTTAATTTAACTCATTTTTTTTTATTTTAACATTTATTTTTATTATTTATTTACTAATTTATTTCTTATTATTTCATATTTTTTCCTTTTAAATAACTAATTAATTATTTTTTCTTCTTCAAAATTAAAAAGTTACAATTAAATTGGTGATTAAGGTGCATTAGGCTTAAGCTCAGCATTAGCAAATTGCACTAATCTCTCAAAATTGACACTTTATCTTTAGTAAAAATAGTTTATTTATTTTAGATTGTGGTATTAATACTTATTAAAATGAATTTAAAACAATATAACTAACTCTTTTAATTTGTTTATTAGCTTTTTTATATGATTAACTTTTCTTTTTCTTTTTTATTCTTTTTGTTATTTTTTTATTATGTCTTTCTTAATTTAACCCATTTTTTATTTTTAATATTTGCTTTTACTATATGTTTATTAATTCATTTCTTATTATTTCATATTATCTCTACATTTTTTCCTTCTAATAACTAATTAATTTTATTTTTTCTTTATTATTTAAAAAGGTTAAATTAAATTGGTGTAATAGGTGCATCAGACTTAGGTTCTGCTTTAGCAAATTGCATTAATCTCTCAAATTTGGAACTTTATCTTTAGTAAAAACAGTTTATTTGTTTTGGATTTTGGTATTATTACTTATAAAATTAATTTAAAAAAAAAATATATCTTTTAATTTGTTTATTAAACTTTTATTTGATTTGCTTTTTTTTTTTTTCTTTTTATTCTATTTAATTTTTTAGTTTTTTAATTTTATATATAAAATAAAAGAATAAACTAAATCAATGAATCATAATAATTGAAAGTAAATAGCAAGTTTCTCAAATCAAAAAGAATAGTTGCTTTTAAAATATATTATTAATGATGATAGACAAGTAAGTGCTGAAAAAAGATGAATAAATATAAAATATCTGAATAATAGAAAAAAAATAATATGCTTTTTTATATAATATTTGTAAAAAATATTTTATTTTTTGAAAAGATTCATAATCTAAAAATATTTTTAAAAATAAAATGTGTATTTAATTTAACATATTATTTATTTTTCCAATTTTGCAAAATTTGCAGCCTTCAAAAGATACGGTGAATCATGTAGAATTTGAATATATATATAGTACCCAACGGTACTGCCTTTTTCAACATACAAATAGAATACATATGTAGAGTATTTATAAACCGCATTGGTTAAAATAAAAAGTAAAATTTGATTTCTCCTTAAGGTATTAAATCATGGTATCTAATTAATCATGATAAATAAAAAATAGATAGAAATATGATTAATGGATAATATTTAAGATTAAAATATAACTGGCATATAAAAGGTTGGAATTTATATAATTTAATAAGATATAATAAAATACTGATAGTTTCAAATGATTTGATCATTTTTGGAAAAATTGAGAGTTGGATTAAGAAGAATTAATTTATTTAAGTAAATTTAATTTTTAAATTGTTTAATTTTTATAAATTATTTATTAGCCTACAAAAATATGGATGATATTTATAAATATAAAAACAATAATAAAATCTATCTATCTATTTATTTGTATTTTAGGTTAAAAAACATTTTCAAAATATGATATAATAAAAAAACATATAACATTCAATTATACAAGCATTTAATATTTATTCATTATTTTTTAGCTACTTGATTATCATCAGAATTCTTTTTCAAAGACAACTAATCTTTTTGATTTAAGATACTAGCTTATTGCTTTGAATTTTTATAATTAATTCATTTTGCTAAAACTTTTATAATAAGTTTGTGTTAAATAAATAAATATAAAATATAATAAATTATTAAATTTAAAACTATTTATTAAATTTATAAATAAAATAATATTTAGAGGAATAAAAAAGATAAAAAATAAATCAAATAAATTCAAAGACCTTTTTTGTTTTATATTCTTTTTATAGTTAAAAATATCACAATCCAAAACAAACAAACTGTTTTACCTAAGGAAAAGTATCAAATTTGAGAGATTAATGCAATTTGCTAGACCTTAACCTAAGCCTGATGCCCCTATTGCACCAATTTTATTAGAACTTTTTAAATATTGAAGAAAAAATATATATCCTTAAATAGTAAATTAGTAGGAAAATATGAAGAAAAAATATGAAATAATAAAATTAATTAATTGATAATAAAACAAAAGTTAAAAATAAAATGATACGTTAAATTAATAAAATAAAGAAAGAAGTAAAAAAGCTAGCACAACAAAAAGAAAAAGAAAAAAGAGCTTTATTGTTTTAAATTAGTTTTTATAATTAAAAATATCCCAATCTAAAACAAATAAACTGTTTTTACCCAACGTTAAGTGTTAAAGTTGAGAGATTATTGCACTTTGCTAAACCATAACCTAAGCCTGATGCACCTTCATCACCAATTTAATTGTAACTTTTTAAAATTGAAGAAAAATAAAAATTAAATAGTAAATCAGAAGGAAAAAATGAAGAAAAAATATGAAATAATAAAATTAATTAATAATAAAATCAAAAAGTGAAAATAAAATGATGAATAAGTTAAATTAACGAAAAATGAACAAAAAAAAAATAAAGTACAATAAAAAGAAAAATAAAAAAGAGCTTTATTGTTTTAAATTAGTTTTTATAATTAAAAATATCACAATCCAAAAAAAATAAACTGTTTTTACTAAAGGTAAAGTTCCAAATTTGAGAGATTAATGCAATTTCCTAAACCATAACCTAATCCTGATGCACCTTCATCACCAATTTAATTGCGACTTTTTAAATATTAAAGAAAAAATTGATAATTAAATAGCAAATTAGAAGGAAAAAATAAAGAAAAAATATTAAATAATAAGATTAAGCAAGCACAATAAAAAGAAAAAGTAAAAAGAGCTTTATTGTTTTAAATTAATTTTATAATAAAAAATTACAATCCAAAACAAATAAACTGTTTTTACCTAAGGCTAAGTGTCAAATTTTAGAGCTTAATGCACTTTGCTAAGCCAGAACCTAAGCCTGATACACCTTCATCACCAATTTTATTGGAACTTTTTAAATATTGAAGAAATGATATTTCATTAAATAGTTAATTAGAAGGAAAAAATAAAGAAATAATATGAAATAATTAAATTAGTTAACAATAAAAGCAAAAATCAAAAATAAAATGATGAGTAAAATTAACAAAGAATGAAGAAAAAAAGTAAGCACAATAAAATGAAAATGAAAAATGAGCTTTTTTGTTTTTAATAAGTTTTTATTATTAAAAATACCACAACCCAAAACAAATAAACTGTTTTTACGCAGCTTTGAGTGTCAAATTTGAGAGATTAATGCAATTTGCTAAAGCAGAACCTAAGCCTGATGCACCCATTGAACCAATTTAATTTTCACTTTTTAAATATTGAAGAAAAAATATATCATTAAATAGTAAATTAAAAAAAGCAAGCACAATAAAAAGAAAAAAGAAAAAAGAGCTTTTTTGTTTTTAATTAGTTTTGATAAATAAAAATATCATAATACAAAAAAAATAAACTGTTTTTACTCAACGTTAAGTTCCAAATTTGAGAGATTAATGCAATTTGCTAAAGCAGAACCTAAGCTTGATGCACCTTTATCACCAATTTAATTGCGACTTTTTTTAAATATTGAAGAAAAAATATATCATTAAAAAGTAAATTATTAGGAAAAAATAAAGAAAAAATATTAAATAATAATAAAAGAAAAAAGAGCTCATTCTCTAAAAATTCAAAGATGGTAAGCCCTTATAGTTTTTAATTATTTTTTTACAATTCAAAATAAATAAAATGTGTTTACTTAAGGTAAAGATTCAAATTTGAGAGATTAATGCAATTTGCTAAACCAGAACATAATCCTGATGCACCTCCATCACCAATTTTATTGGAACTTTTTAAATATAGAAGAAAAAATATATAATTAAATAGTAATTAGAAGGAAAAGATAAAGAAAAAATATGAAATAAGTAGATTAATTAATAATATAATGATGAGTTAAATTAATAAAGAATGAACAAAAAAAAGCAAATACAATAAATAAAAATAAAATAGAGTTTTATTGTTTTAAATTAGTTTTTATAATTAAAAATATCACAATCCAAAATAAATAATCTGATATTACCCAACGTTAAGTGTCAAATTTGAGAGATTTATGCAATTTTTTAAACCAAAACCTAAGCCTGATGCACCTTCATCACCAATTTAATTGGAACTTTTTAAATATTGAAGAAAAAATATATCATTAAATAGTAAATTAGAAGGAAAAAATGATAAAAAAAGTATTAAATTATAAGATTAATTTATAATAAAATGATGAGTTAAATTAACAAATAAAGAATAAAAAAAAGCAAGCAAAATAAAAAGAAAAAGAAAAAAGAGCTTTATTATTTTTAATTAGTTTTTATAATTAAAAAATATCACATTTAAAAAAATAAACTGTTTTTACTAAAGTTAAAGTGTCAAATTTGAGAGATTAATGCAATTTGCTAAATCAGAACCTAAGCCTGATGCACTTATAGCACTAATTTAATTCTAACTTTTTAAGAATAAAAAATAAATAATTAAATTTTAAATTAGAATGAAATAATAATAATGACAAAAGTTGAAAATAAAATGATGAATTAAATTAGCAATGAAAGAACAAAAAAAAAAAGCAAGCACAATATAAATAAAAAAGAGCTTTTTTGTTTTTAATTAGTTTTATTATTAAAAATATCACAATCAAAAATAAATAAACTGTTTTTACCCAAAGATAAGTGTCAAATTTGAAAGATTAATGCACTTTGATAAACTAGAACCTAAGCCTAATGCACCTTTATCACCAATTTAATTGCCACTTTTTAAATATTGAAGAAAAAATATATCGTTTATTAGCAATTTAGAAGGAAAAAATGAAGAAAAAATATGAAATAATAAAATTAATTAATAATAAAATGATAAGTTTAATTAATAAAAATAGAACAAAAAAAAAGCATACAGAAAAAAAAGAAAAAGAAAAAAGAGCTTAATTATTTTAAATTAGTTTTTATATTTAAATATCACAATCCAAAACAAATAAACTGTTTTTACAAAAGGTAAAGTTCTAAATTTGAGAGATTAATGCAATTTCCTAAACCAGAACCTAAGCCTGATGCACCTTCATCACCAATTTAATTGCTACTTTTTAAATATTGAAGAAAAAATATATCATTAAATATTAAATTAGAAGGAAAAGATGAAGAAAAAATATGATATAATATGATTCATAAATAATAAAATAATGAATTAAATTAACAAAGAAAGAACATAAAAAAGCAAGCACAATAAAAAGAAAAAGAAAAATGAGCTTTATTGTTTTTAATTAGTTTTTATTATTAAAATATCACAATCCAAAATAAATAAACTATTTTTACTTAAGGTTAAGTGTCAAATTTGAGAGATTAATACACTTTCCTAAACCAGAACCTAAGTCTGATGCACCTTCATCACCAATTTAATTGGAACTTTTTAAAATTGAAGAGAAAATATATCATTAACTAATAAATTAGAAGGAAAAAATGAAGAAAAAATATGAAATAATAAAATTAATTAAAAATAATATGAATAATTAAATTAACAAAGAAAGAACAATAAAAAGAAAAAGAAAAAAGATATTTATTATTTTAAATTAATTTTTATAATTAAAAATATCACAATCCAAAATAAATAAATCAACTGCTTTTACTAAAGTTAAAGTACCAAATTTAAGAGATTAATGCAATTTGCTAGACCAGAACCTAAGCCTAATGCACCTCCATTACCAATTTTATTGGAACTTTTTAAAATTGAAGAAAAAATAAAAATTAAATAGTAAATTAGAAGGAAAAAATGAAGAAAAAACACGTAATAATAAGATTAATTAATAAAAAAATGATGAATTAAATTAACAAAGAAAGAACAATAAAAAGTAAGCACAATAAAAATAAAAAGAAAAAGAAAAAAGAGCTTTATTATTTTAAATTAGTTTTTATAATTAAAAATATCACAATCCAAAATAAATAAACTGTTTTTACTAAAGGTAAAGTGTCAAATTTGAGAGATTAATGCAATTTGCTAAACCAAAACCTAAGCCTGATGCACCTTCATCACCAATTTAATTAGAACTTTTTAAAATTGTGAAAAAATTTATCATTAAATAGTAAATTAGAAGGAAAAAATGAAGAATACTAAATAATAAGATTAATTAATAATTAAATAATGAATTAAATTAACAAAGAAAGAAGAAAAAAAAAGCAAGCACAATAAAACGAAAAAGAAAAAAAGAACATGATTGTTTTTAATTAGTTTTATAATTAAAAATATTGGGAGGGGG